AGACTAGAATAACAAACTTTGCATGGATAATGAAACAGTGTGTCAAAATTTAAAACGTTTATTTATGATGGCAAAAGTACGTCTAATATTAGGAGTTTTTTCTCTCTATTTCTTGGTCACATTGATAGTTTGTATTTAATTGCAAGCAAAAAACTACAAGTATTGCCAGGTTATTACTGGCCCCGCTTGTCCAGTTAAGATGCATGCAGCAATGAGGCATTTTTGGAATATTTTCTATTATTTGTCAGACTCGGCGGCGACCATCATTGGACGCTTTGAAGTGCCCGAGTTACAACTCCTTCTGTGCCCTTCCTCCATGATTAATACAAAACTACAATGGCCAACAGCAATCATATGGTCCTGCCAGGGAAGAGACTGAAAAGAAATGTGGTTACTCTGATTCAGCTGTGACATTCTTTTACTATGCATTCATTTCGTTTCGTTTTGAATGTCAGAAGGAAAACAGAAGAAAGGAAAAAGTATGTTAACGAATCTAACAGTCTGCCATCACTCCTTGACATCATCATGATGCCATTGCAGAGGACATAATGTTATCTGCGAGTCCACTTAAAGTGTGATTTATCTGGGCCCCTTTTATTCGAGGTCTAAACTGACCTGTGCAGGGATCTAATAAATATCCAGAGAGTAATACATGTAGTAAAGCACTTGATACCATCATCATCACTTCATGTCAAATAATTTTTTTTAATGTCTTCTGACTATGAGCTGCATCTACCAACCTTATTTAGCCAATATATTTAAAATCAAAGCTTAGCTGATGTGTGTAAAAATCGTCATATTCCAAGACGTTATTATAAGGTTTTAGGAATCTTCACCTCCGATCATCAAAGGTCTGGCAAAGCACGGGTGTGCTGACCGCAGTTTCATTTGTTAGTGTTCCCTCTCTGTTTTACTGTAGGTGCATTCCCATAATTGCCAGTGAGTTTCCTTTATGATAATTTGATAATTAAGTTTGGTTTTAGATGTAAACAACGTTGAATCGGTACCCCTAATTGTATAAGTTTAATAGTCATTTCTAATCTTATCTGGGACAGCCATGTTCGTTTTTACTCTGCTTGTATTCATATAGTGTGTGTACCTATGTACTGCATGTTTTTCATTGTATTATGAGATTGATTGAATCCAAAGTTTGGTGCTAGAAGCGTCAGCCTCAATACTGTTTATGCACAAGAAGGTGAATTTGCCGTAACACCCTTTTGGAAATTTCCATGCATAGGGTCTACTTACATGTACTTTGAAAAACACCTTGGCCTAAAATCACGTGTCACATCACATGTGTCACTTTGTTTATTTACAGTTCTACCTCACGAACAGTCATCAAGGAATAAATCTTTGAACCCATATTGATGTCTCGTGCTGGTTAACTATCTGGATGGGGGGAACCGTTACTCTCCAAGGCCAGAATAATGGATGTTTATCTGGTCCAACGAGTTCTATGCGAATTAACTGCAGCTTAATTTATTTCTCGATTCACAAGTCCATTGAAGTGTTGGATTTTATAAGAATTATGTATCATTTCCCTTGTAAAAGAAATTTTGATGCAAAAATATCAGGTTAAATCTAGATTCTCATACTGAGTAAAATTTATAAAATTTCTGTTATATTCTCTTGTTTTAAATGAAAATTTAAGAAAAAATTCAAACTATTTTTTATTCTCAAACAAAATTTGAAAACCACTAAAATGATATATTAAATCCAGTTTCCATAGGCTTTTCTCAATACAGTGACTATCGATGATGAAAAGCGGAAAATCGCAGATTTGCGTATTTGAATTTTTACAAGTTCATGATCTGGAAATGGTCCTGTCAGTGATTGAAAGCCGATGATAAAAAGTTTGTCATCGACCTTGGCAAAGGTAGAATGTAAAACTTTTTATCGACCCACGATTTTGTTCCGATCCATAATCGGGTCAAGGTTTTTAATTTTATTAATGCAGATTAAGTTTGACGTGCTCTATTTACTTCTGGGTTTACGAATCCATTGACAGCGTGAAATAATCGCGATTTGTTTTATCATTTACCTGGTTTTAAACAAGTTTAATGCCAAAAAAACATTTATATCTTTGTTCTAAGAGGTATTAGTAATAAACACAAGGGGTAGATTTTTATACGGTTTCAGCTTAATTAAATTTTCCGGTTTGAAAATAAACTGCAACAAAACCGTAAATCGTTTTTGGATCCTATGTACACTACAAAAACAGTGTTTAGAATCAAAACATTTTTGTAAACATTATCTTGCTATCAGTTTGTAAACATTTCCTCCACCTATGGTGTTTATCAGTACAACACCTATGTGTTTAGATATTATACATTTGTTTAAGTAGTTAATATTTTGTTTTTATAACATGTTTAGATGCTTGGCACAAAACGCCTACCAAGAAAGCATTCGACTGCACTAACAATTCCATTTCTAAGGGATTTTTTCTTTATTCTTCAAACACAAAATATCTTTGAATTGTTTCCGTCTAAAGCGCAAATCAGATGCAAAATCATATTGGCAAAAATAAAAACGCATATTTCATCAGAATTCCTCAGTGCATTCTAACATCAGTAAAATGAGGCCTTTCAAGCTTTCGTAAATCAAAAAAACAATCAACTTACATTGAAGTTACAATTAATTTTTTTTCCTTTAAAAAATTCATTAATTGTAATGTTAAAATCTTCCACAAGGGTTTCTTTGGCTTACATGAAAGAAAAATCCAGAATAAATTTCATTTTAGTAAGAATTATTATTACCAAAAATGGGTCACTTGGGAGACATTCCCATAGGAACGTGCACAAAATTTTTCAAACTTTACCGTCCCATAATTCAATATTTCCTAATCTGATCTTAACCAAACTTTGGATGTTTTTTTAGACCCTAACCTATTATCTGTCAAAATGTTCCTCCTTTTGGTAGTTGGAGCATTAGGGAGACATTGAAATGTCTCCCTAATGACTGATATCTCCCTTATGTTGAAAAATTTACCACAAAATGTCTCCCAAGTGACCAATTTGGAAATATTAAAGTTTTATAAATAGAATTTGTATTTCATTACTTATGATGTTAATCTCCTTCCCATGAGTCTTAAGGGCTTACAAAATCAATTGAATTTCAATAGGATAATCAAGGTTTTAGAACTTTGAATAGTTGTAAAGTTATATGTGAATGCACTACAATGAAGATGCTACAATGAAGTCATAATTAAATGAAATTTGAACTTCATTAATTTTGAAATTTGTATTTTCTCAATTTCTTGTTAAAGTTAATCAATATGAAGATGGAAAGCAAACTTCTGCAGACTTGAAAGAAGAACAGTGAATTTACAGAAATTACAAGATCAACCAAATGTAATTTCCAACAAGGGGTATTTGGAGAACCTCAAGCATCTGATAGTGGATGACACTACGAACATCTAACAAAAGAAACACATGCACCAACAATGTGTATCCATTGTTATTGCACCGTGCTTCTTTTGTTAGATGTTCATATTGTGTGGTATGAAAGTTACCATGCATAGTGTGCCTGGGATGAAAAAAAAATTAGTGTTTGGTTTTGTGCAGCTGCATCTGATCATGCAGGATGAAATCACAGATGAAGTTACAAGATTTTTAAAAATGGAGATATACCTGGAACGATTTTAAAAGAGATACCGGGCTGTACCTGATGTTGTGTTTGAATTTGTGAACAACCAACCCTATACAACGTCTGTGAAATGTCAACATTGAAACACAGTATTTACGTAATACCTTGCATTTTAAAGATTCTTGCCCTCTTTGGCAACAGAAATAGCTGCGCACGATTGAACAACTTTGTACGTAAACAATTTTGGATGTTTACTTCAGACTGTAACAAATCTTTCTTTCAAAATAAGAATAACTGAGCAAAAATATCATTTATGTCTCTTAGCATAAAAACCTATAAAGAGCACGTCGGTTTTCGTATTTTCAAAATTGTTTATTCTTTAACACTGTGGCTGGTATTATCTTTAAAATATATAGATGCAAATTGTTTCCCTTAGGAAATCCGGACGATAAAAAGTACATGCATTGGAAACTTGCCCTTTTAAACCCAAACAAAAAACAGCACAGATTTGTTTCGCTGTGATATGTGCAAATTTTGTAATGCGACCAAACATATGCCATCATGAATCGAAACGGAAATGGCAGACTGATAAAAAGATTTTTGAGTAACATAAAGTATATGTAATTTTTTCACAATCCTCCAGATGATGTGGGCGTCTTAAGCGTCTCTCACGTCTTATGAAGACTTAAGAACCAACCTCTCAATGAAATGTTCCTTTGTCACACTGTGGCGGTTTAGGAATTAAAGGATTTATTTTCGCCAAGGCTTAATTTGCCATGAATGGAACTTGAATATTTTATAGCTTCAGACGACCTAAAAATCATGATTTACAGTTGCAAATTCGACTTTCAACGGTACTGGCCACTCCAAATTGGAATTCATTCATTTCATATAGAGGCATCATGAATCGATTATTACAAACAGACTTTATATCCAACACTGTGACGGCCAATTAGAAGATACCTTTCAGGCCTTGTGCACTGCATTATTACCCAGATGCAGCTGCTTTTGAACCAATGAGACGCACAGCTGCCAGTGCGGAAACGCCCACGATGGCTGGGCTTAATACATGAGCTGTATGTGTTGTTTTACGAGATATAAGTGCAGCCTGCCGTATGACCACACCACCATTTATTCAAAGGAACTGACGAGTAATATACAAGTTTCCGTTTGCCGAAGTGTTTATGCTCGGGTGCAACGGAAAGGATTTTCTCGAAGAAAAATGTTTGGAGTGGGACCCTTCGCCTTCTTTATCCACTTGGTTTTGATGTTATCCCGTGGAGTGGAAAAGATTGGAGCCCTATCAGGTAAGCAAGCAACCAACAATAAACCAGTTTTTACAAATGATTACAGCTTGGACCATCATCCGTTGGACAAGAAAAAAATATTATTTTAATGAATATGTTGGGGAACAGTCGTCTGCTTATTTTGGTCAGACTTCTTTTTGTCTACCTAGCTGTTGTGCTTTTTGACTCCTTGATTGTTTTATGTCAGGTGGTTTCCAAGACAATTTTCCAATTGGTATGGATTATTCCATCGGCGAGGGTCTGTACAATCTTTTTGAAGTTGTATAAATTTCATTATCTTTCAAATATTTGATGAATTTCATGATACTGTTGAACATGGATTTTGCCACTGTGTCTACTTCCAAGCTGTATTACGTGCGTGGGAACCGCTCTTTTGGGCGTATTTCGTAATTTAAAGCAATTGATTTTCACCTTATTCAACAGTCATGCGATGGTAGACCCTGAATGTTGAATGTTTACATTATGTATGCGTACATTATGTATGTTTAAAGTTAATGAGGCAGAGAATGCTGGTACGGGTTAAGATTAATTATTATACGGGAAAATCTTTGTTAGGGTGAAGTTTCTCGTTCAATCACACTTTTTACGTAGTTATTCTAGGCCAATGTTAAACAATTAGTACAAAATACTTATGTATGTGGATACTTTGGCTTCTTGAGATACTAGCACAATTTTTTTAAAGCTGCATAAAAATATTTGTTCCCATTTCAAAGGTCCTTGTGTAGAGCATATAGGATGTCGCGATAATGACGCTTTAATCAATGCTTTAAAATTAACCTTCAGACTGTGAATGTAGCTTTCCAGCATGCATTTTGGACGGTCCTAATATAGTTACTTCACTACTTTGAAAATATTTGTTTTCACGGTGGCCATTCTACGATTTCTTATCACGCAAACCAAACGGCACGCTGACTTCAAACCGTAATTATTATGTCACCGTTTAGCTCGCCCATGCGTCTTCCGAAAAAAAAAGGCTCAGCTGTTTCAAGGGGAATTTGGTATGTATATTTATATAGAAAAATGGGAGTGGAATATAACAGCTTACATGCAGGGCTTATACAATTTGATACTTGAAACAATAATTATTTCGAATCACTGCTCTAATCTTGTACTACGTGCATGATGTCACTACATGTACATGAATGTTGTAAACAGTTCGAATCACAGAGGTAGACGTCTTTGTTTCGATTTGGCTTTTCCTTTCTTCTTTCTACGGATGCTACTTCTTCTGGAGACGCTTTGTAGACCAGTTCTTTTTCAGTCACTGTGCTGTAGCAGGCCAATACAGGAAATAATTTAAAAAACCTTCTATTTGAACCTTGATGCAAACGCAGGGGGGATAAGGGGGTAATTGCAATTTTTTCACAAAACAATGTTTATACCCTGTCTATCCATTAATATTTGGAAACGAGTCGTTTTTGCTCGATTAATTTAACAGTACCAAACTGAATATTTTCTGTAGATTCCGCGGTAAGTGCATTATATATGACGTATCACCAAGGGGAAGGCAACCATTTTCTTTCCTTTGTGTACCTCCCATTGTTACTTCATGCATTATAAAGCGTCAAAACCTACGAAAACAGTAATAGGAAAACCTACTGCGCATATCATTCCCTTCGAACTCCTGATAGTCATGGCAATGACATAACGCAAATGCAGGGGGTGGGGATTGCAAGGGGGAATGCAAATTATTCACAGAACAACATTAGTCATTCCCTGTCTGTCCATTGAAATTTGAAAAATAATCGTTTTCACTCTAGCCAAAATGAGTTTTTAAAAATAATTGGCTTCGTGTTTTCCTATTGATTCCGCAGTAATTGCATTATAATTATACGACGTATCAGCAAGGGGACGACAATGGTTTTGTCTCCTATGTGTACAGTAATTTCTGCTGTTACTCAATGTCGTATCCAGCGGGGGCTGATGGATTTTTTTTAATCCTTTTTTTCAACTGAGAATACTTCATAGGTGAGTAGGAAAAAAACTAATCGGTATATTCATTTGCAAATTAATAGGCAATATTTATCTTCGCCCATTATCATGTCGAATGAGCCCGAAAGTGAATTTGTTTTTGAATTTGCCCTCCCCCCACACCTGCAAGCTGGATACGCCACTGTTGTTACCTCATTATGAATGTGAAAAGCAAGGAAAATTTATTCATATTCTTTACCAAGAACTTGCATTTGTGCGAACCAGGAGTGATGGTTGCACAGCTTCCGACGGGTGACGGTGCTGTGAGGTCCTTCCTGGACGACCAGGCGGCCTTTTTCAAGAGATACCCCGCCTGCCTCAATCCGAGGGTGGCGCTAAAAACTTGAGGTAAAAAATGCTTACTCTTCAATCAACCTACCTGGCTGCCCACGGTCAGCGGGTTATCCTTTTCAGTGGGCGGAACCGCAAATCAAAGCTACAAGTCGCATGTTGGAGTGTGTGAACCCTCCTCGACGACAACCCTAACCTCCCGAAGAGACGAGCTGCTTTGCTTGGCAAGGAGCTCGATGCTTTTGGCAAGGACATCACTGCGCATTCAGAGATGAGGCTCCCAGACACAGGAGAAAGGAGGGAGAAGACCGACACCTTGTTCTGGTCTGGCAACCCTAAGGGTTCAAGGCTACTGGGTACTTCTGGCACTGGTTTTGCCCCAGCTGACTGAGCTGCCTCCCCCAGTGTCTGACCAACTGATGACCCTACGTCTTGCCACCTCCCCCACCGCACACATTACCTTGTTCCGTGCGTATGTTCTGACGATGACTCATGACCCTGCGCACATGGCTGCTTTCTACTATGAACTCAAAGAAGTGTTGCTGAACATCACCACCACAGGTACAATTGTGGTGCTTGGAGACTTTAACGCAAGTGTCGGACGCAACCAAGATGTATGCCTAGGAGTCCTCCGCAGTTTTGGACGAGGATCTTACAACAGCAAAGGAACTGTGCAACGAGTTTTCACTCACAGTGACCAACACCCTGCTCAACGTGCCTGCTCATCACTTCTCATGGGGACACTCAAGATCTGGACAGGCTCATCTTCTGGACAACATTCTGATTAGTACAAGACCCGTGACGTGTGCATCACTAGGGTCATGAGAGGCCCAGAATGTGACACTGATCACTACATGATCAGGTGCCGACTCAACGTCTCCATCCACAGCCTAGACAGAGATCAGCCCCTGGCCCAGCAAGAAGCTCAACGTCGGTCGACTCAAGGAGTCCTGTGCTACGAAAGACCTCAACACGACCTTCTGTCAGTGCTTCTCTCCAACCACCAACTCCACTGCTACTGATGAGTGGCAGAACTTCAGCTCATGTCTTTACAAAGCTGCTAAAGAAGTACTGGGGCACCCAAGGCGTAGGAATCAGGGCTAGTTTGATGACTCTGACTTCGTCATCTCGGAGCTCCTTAAAGACAAGCACAAAGCCTACCAGGCCTGTCTCGCCAAGCCCAGCTGCCAAAGATCCAGATCTGAGTTCACCAGAGTGAGGGCAAAACTGCAACGCAAGCTCACAAACATGTAAGACGAGTGGTGGGATCAGAAAGCTGAAGAAATTCAGAGAATGCCAGACATTGGAGATACCAGAGGCTGCTACCAAGAACTGAAGACTGTCTTTGACCATGGAGAAACTCATTCCAGCCCTCTGCTTGCAACTGATGGCAATACTCTCTTGACTTAAACGATGGCAGACACACTTTCCCCAGCTCCTGAACCAAAGACCAAATGCTGATCTCGATTCTTGACTGAATCACTAGCGTTCAGTGCTTCTTAGTGATGATGATCCTCTGCTCATAGATGAAGTTTTACAGGCCTCAAGTTTCCCGGAATGGTTGGCATCCAAACGGAAACCTACAAGAATGGAGAACAGATCACCCGTGCTCTCTATGAGGTCATTTCAGTTATCTGGAATGAGAAGTCTGTGCCACAGGAATTCAAGGATGCTGCCGTCATCCCCATCTTCAAGAAGAAAGGTAACAAGCAGGATCACTTATGTCAACCGATGGCAAAGTGCTTGGCAAAGTGATTCTCAAGCGCCTCAAAACCATCCTTGATGCAGTTTTCCCAGAGTCGCAGTGTGGCTTCCGCAGCTGCAAGAGAAAGCCATCGAACAGAACGTACCCTTGTACATAGTGTTCATCGACTTTACCAAAGCTTTTGATACGGTGAACAGGGAGTGTCTCTGGTCTGGTCTCCTCTGCGTCGCAATGGCTGTCCTGAAGGCAGCGTCAGTCTCATCTCTCAGCTTCACACTGTCATGATGGCCCAAGTCTCCCTTAACGGCACACTTTCATACCAGTTCATTGTGAACCAAGGCGTCAAGCAAGGCTGTGTGTTGGCTCCCTCCCCATTCTCCATCTATCTCAGTGCTGTCCAGGAATTGTGTCCACAGCAGGGCGGTGTTTATCACAGTATACGCTTAGATGGAAAGCTTAGATGGAAACCAACTCCAAGCTGTACACAGCTTTACCTAACTTAGCTGCACAGTTTCCAGTGACAACAACCTGGAAAATGAAGTGGAGAGGCGCATCAGTGCAGCCAGAGCAGCCTCTGCGAAGCTCCAGTCTAAGGCCTGGAAAAGACATGGCATCCGGCTTACAACCAAGTGCAAGGTGTACCGTGCAGTGGTCCTCACCTGCCTTCTCTACTCTTCAGGAACCTTCATCCCGTACCGTCTCCACATCAAGAGACTCCAATGCGTTCAGACTTACCCGATAAGACATCTTCTCAAGACCCGCTGGCAAGACTCCTGTCTTAGTGACGAAGAGGTGTTGAGGCACTACTCACGAAGAGCCAACTACGATTGAGCGGCCATGTATTCTATGGTGAACTGGTCAAAGGAGCAAGAAGCAAAGGTAGACCGAAGCTGAACTTCAAGGACTTTCTCAAAAGACATTTGAAGGCCTTTGCCATCGACGCCGACTCCTGGGAGGACAGAGCAAGTGACAGCTGAAGGTGGACATTTGTTGTCAGTTGTCAGAGGTTCTGCTTTCCTCATCGGTGACCGTTTGGCTGAGGAGACAGCTGAGCACAATCGAAAGCGTGCTGCTAGGGCAGCCTCAGTCGCCGATCCTCAAATCCACACCCTTCTCTTTTGCTGCCGCCACTGCGGCAGATGTTCCTCCCAGCACATTGGGCTCTACGCTTATGAACGACACTGCCGAAGTGACAGCAGGAGTGAGAGCCAAGAGAGAGATCACCATATTCAGGGTTACTTGCTCATACCGGTACTATAAGGCTACTGCATTGGCTCGAATAATTCTCTAAAAGGACTTTTTTGAACCTTTGAAGGTCGTGTACACGATTTGCGTGTACTGCAATTTTTCAAAATTGGTCGTTTATGGATTTCTTATTTACTATGCGTATCATTCAACGGACTTGTTCCTTTGTTTTAGTTGACTTCTTTTGCCAAAAATCCAGAAAAGCATTCATTTTAACACTCAAAGCGCAGCTCGTTTAATTTGTCTTAAAAATGGAATCCATGAACCACATTACTTTCCTTAGTGCCTAGATAATATGGAAAGATTTTGCAGATTGTCTGATACTATTATGTACTTACTTTACAGTAAGATATTTAAAGATAATTCGACAGTCCCGGTTTTGTGACTGCGAATCGTGTACATTGCTTTTAACCCTGACATTGGAGATAGCAGTATACTGCTCCCTGACACTCTGTTTATACGCACTGAGTGTGAGTGCATTGATTAGGGCAGCAAGTCTATAGCTGTAACATAATACAGTCACAAAAGAGGCAATATTGTAAAGTCTTTCTGGTAATGAAGCCAAGGATTCCTTAAAAGTGCCCTGGATACTGTAGCTCGTAAGCCTGAAGAAACCTGTAGAAAGGAGACATTGAGAAGTTAGTTTAAGTGGTGGGAGTAAAACCTCGGGAGAATATTTTGGGTAAAACCCACGAAATCAGGTAGGGACTGAAAACAAAATCCAGATGTGGACAGAGCCAGGAATCGAACCCAGTCCGCAGAGGTGAAAAGCGAGGAAAGATGAACAACTCCCAAAGCGCCAAGTAAGAATGGGGGGCAGCAGTACTTTTCGGCTGGTATATTTATTGTGGAAATGCTTCTTATTTATTTTATACTGAACTCACAGATAACAGAGATTTTGACATCAAACTTGTGAATGGCATTGCCGCCAATGAGGGGAGAGTGTTAATTCGCTGGTTCCCTGGTGACTCCAACTGGACATCTCTGTGCTACAGTTCAAATCATGCGGCCACGGTCGCCTTTCAGCTGTGCAGGCGTCTCAGATACTCGTTTGCATGCGGTATGGAGGCAGCCGGGCCCCTGCGGACCGACAATTCGTCGCTGGTAAACGTCGCAAGCGTAAAATTCCTGGCTACATGTGAGACCCACCCTACAGAGATAACGGCGGGGGGCTGCATCCTGAATGTGTCATCTGGAGTAAATCTGGTTGATGAATCACCTTGCATTCACGAACAGGACACGTGGTTATCATGCGGATATGCAGGTAATCCCTATGTTGGAATAAGTAAAAACATACACACAACACAAACAAACAATAAAAAGGGAGAGAGTGGTAACGCCCTTTGATAAATTGTATCAGTTCAGCTGTCCTATCCATTTTCGCTAGGAATCACTGGCATCTCTGCTCTGGAAAATAAATGGGTAAATATTCAAAGATGACCTTATTATACCAATTATGAGAGGGGGTCTGGACAGTACCTTGAAAAGAGTTCATGCCAATATACATAAACATTTCCAATTTTTTCAACAAGGTTCATCCGCCAATCAGGGTGTTTAAATTTGCCAAATGTAAGCGCTCAAGCTAAAGAAAGTCCTACGTGTACTCTTCTTTGCTCAGGAATGCCAGACCTCGAATTGCGACTTATTGATGGGACAGGAGGTGAATCCAGAGGGCTCGTGCAGGGCCGCTGCGGAGGCAAACGAGACTGGGGCGCCATCTGCAGCAATACATTTTACAAGAAGAGAGCGGGAAACGTTGCCTGCCGTGATCTTGAACTTTCCAGTTTCGCCTTATCAGTTGGATCCGCGTCCTTTGACGAAGTTGATATCGGGCATACAACCAACTATATGCTGTTCGTTGACATCGGTTGCGTTGGGAACGAAGCGAGTCTGAGTGAGTGTGAGCACTACTCGCTACGGCAGTGTAAGGCTTACGCTACACTGGAATGCTTCACCGGTAAGTCAGTTAAAGGAAACCCAACAATAGGGCGCGCCTAGGTATATCAGACAGTAAAACATGTGCATAATTTCCATGCAGTTAAATAAAGTCACTCAAAAGTGAAAAAAAAAATACCTTGGATGCTGGACTCGGTGAAATAATTAGGCTACAGTGATAACAGTTTACCAACTCAACAGTTTCTTTCAGAATGACATCGATGTAAACCCTTTCGTTTGGCTATGTCCCGCTTATCCAGCGTGCTTTCTTTTGGTTCCCCGTGCAGAAATCAGAGATTATAACGACACCGTCTACCTGTGCGGTTCTAAGCAGCTGTGTGGTGCAAACTGTCAACAACAGATTCATCCATTGGATGATTCAACTGACAATTTCAATTACTGTCAATGTGACGATGCTTGTGTATTATTCGACGACTGTTGTTACGACCATGCCAACGTCTGTAGTCCTGCAGAACCAAGTTTAGAGCGTGGGGGCTTCACGGTGGATTGGTTTGGCTGCGTGTGGGTACCGGGCAGTCAGTTCACTCACATTGGCTACGTGGCCGTCAATCGTTGCCCTGACGACTGGTTGGACGAAGGCACGCGCGAGCTGTGCGAAAGGGCGGTTAATGTGACTGACATCGTTGGGTCCATGCCAGTCTACGACGAGCAAGGAGTGGATTTCAAGAACATCTACTGCGCCTTGTGTAACGGCAGATTGCTGCATAGGTCACACAGATGGAATGTTTTTGCCTCAAATCTCTTAACTTCAACCACAGAAATATTTTACCCGTCTCTTAACCGATCCCTGCCAAGCAATGGTTGGATCATATCTCCCCCAAGAGGCCATAAAGTGATACGGCAATGCTCCGCACACCTCATCGACACCTGTCCGGACGAATTTTTCGGCACCAATATTGACAGAGCTTGTAGAGCGTACTACGCACCCGTGCGCCCCGATGATCAGAATATCCGATACCGTAATCCGCATTGTGCAATGTGTAACGGCAAGAAACTTATACCGGACAAGTCCTGCACAGACCGAGTTTGTGCAGGTCCGTGCAACCAAGTACCTTGGGACCCGTGCTTCTTTGTGTGTGGCCCTTACGACGACTTCTTCACGATTGAGGTTCTGTTCGACTTCACCTCCCCCTCATCCATTAGTGGGCTGTCTTGCTCGGAGGGTCAGATCTACGATCCCTTCCTAGAGCGATGTCGCGTGCTGACGTGCGCAGCCGGGTATCGGGTGAAAGGCGAGGAATGTGTGGCAGATAGCCCACTTTCCACGCAAACCAACGGCACTAAGAAAGTATCAGTGGTTGAGTGCTTGACCGAGCGTCTTGGTAACGACTCAGGGGGTGGGCAGGCCTTGATTGAGGGTCTAGATTTCTCCTTGAAGGATCCACATTCGAACAAAATCTCACTTACCATTCTTGTGGATTCGCATCAGAGTGCACTCGACATCGAAGCTGCTTTTGATTTGACTCTCGACTCAGCAATGATAAACAGGTCCACGTTGGACTATTCCTTATTGTGTAATATATCTGACCTATCGGTGTTGGTGCCATTTATTCAGTTCGAATCCAGTTACTGTAGCAGTGGATACTGGAATGGAACATTTCGTGGATATAACGGACACCTTTTGGAGGTTGTTAAGTACCAAATCACGACCAATGAAGGACAGTACAGTAAAACAACTACATCGCCTTTATGCCTACAAGTGATTAGCCTCAATTGCTCATCTCTGTTGACGTTAGAAGTCTCTGAGTACCACATCCCAGCTGAGCAAATTCTTGAAGTTGGTACAAGTGGCACACGTATACTTGTTGCCGAGTATGTTATCTTCCCCGATGGGTCTGCAGTCATCTGCTCCTTTAGGGGACCAATACCACTGGGGTTAGAACCGAGCATCCGACGGGCGTTATCGTTTGCAGGAAGCTGCCTTTCGTTGCTGGCCCTGACTGCCACTTTCGTCACATACTGTGTCTTTCCTGAGCTGCGAAACACAGCAGGCAAGTCTACGATGAACCTCGTTGCGGCCTTGTTTGTCGCCATCTTGTTATTCTTGCTGGCCGGCTATCTGAAGCAGAACCATGCTGTCTGTGTGGCAGGGGCCGCGGTGGCGCACTTCGCCTGGCTGGCCGTTTTCGCATGGATGACGGTTCTGAGCATCAGTGTTGCCTATACCCTGGGGTCCAAGGTGGCGTCCCGTCCGAATCGCAGAAGGGGTATCGATCGCATACTGGTTGCATACATGTGTCTGGCTTATGGCATCCCCTTTATTATAGTGAGCACCTGCATGACGGTGCAATTCTGTGACTGCACCGATCTCCCGACGATCTATGCAGATGGAGGTATCTGCTGGATCACCGACGCTACCGTTCGTGTGGTCGTCTTTGCGATACCTGTCGCAATGAGCCTGGCATTGAACATCGTCTTGTATCTCTACACGGTTATTATTTTCAGAAAAAACCGATACATGAGCAAGGCTGCACGCAACGAACGAGCGACAGACGCCGCCAAAGAAGAACTCACGGTATACCTTAAGGTCAGCATAACGTTTTTTTTGTTTTTTTTTGTTTGTTTGTTTGTTTGTTTGTTTGTTTTTTACCTTTTTAATCACTTTTTATAACATCAGGAGCGGTGATGTTGATAAGGCAGGGTGATAGCGCACGTTTCGGAAAGTAATCTACTACTGCAAGCATTCACATTGGAATCGAATGTATTTTTAGGTTTGCACAGCAATTTTCAACGTAAACTCACCACTCCGTCAACGTGAACTCACTATTCAGTCAACGTAGACTCACCACTCAGTCGTTGTTGTTGATTTTGATGATTCAATGGCACGTACGGCAGTGTGATAACCTTTATTTCATTGACATAGAAACAGCTTCACCACTCAGTCCTTGCTGTACTCCCATTTTATTGGCAAACCCCTAATATAAACTTGGAGTAGTGCTTTTCTAAAATATGCCAAAATATTTAAAATTATCTGGAGTACAAATTAATACATGCAACCATTTGCAATTCATCACAGACCTGAAAATGTTCTGATCTGCTCCAAGTGGGTACTGTTTTATGGGGTGGAGAAAAGAACGACATCGAGCCTCGACATTTCCTTAGCCCGTGTTTTCTCTTCTATAATGCCATCTTGCAATGAATTCGAACTCACTGTGCAATCTTCCCCTCAATCAACAGATTTGCACTCTTGTCGGCCTGACCTGGGTGTTTGGCTTCGTGTCGCAGTCAGTGACGGGCATCCTGGCCTTCTCCTACATCTATATCATCCTCAACTATCTCCAGGCAGTCTTCATCTTCATTGGCTTCTGCCTCAACAAGAGGGTGCGGGCCATGTGGAGACGAAAGGTGAGAGAGACGCAAGCGGGAAAAGTGACGAAGAATTTGCCCACTCAGCCGAAGACCGGCCTGTCTGCCAAAGGTCTCGTCCTGAACGCGACCACAAAGAACACCAAACTGTAAGGCGTTTCTCCGGATGACCAGCGTAACTCACAAAACACTGTAGTTGGCAACAGTCCCAAGTTAGAATCTCATTCTTTCAAAGTACCATAAGAGGCTAATTGTCTGGAGAACAAGTTAGGCCTATCCCCAGAATTATTAATCATAAGATCAGAATTTCCGAGGCTTCTAACACTCGTTAAAAGTAGCGAAAAGGCGCCGACAAAGATGAGATTTTCCAGTTTTGCTTTATATTTAAGAATTGTCGCTTTGCCCTTACCTTCCTCAATGCAACCATCAGGTTTGATGGTTCCGTTTTGTCCGGGTATTGTTATTTTGTCTGTTTGAGATTTCATTTACTACACAAGATTAAGATAAAAAAGGACTTTTGAATTTATCTCGATATTTCAATTCACATTGCATGAAAAAAATCACATTTTGTTTATAACGTCCACAGTTGACAATTTACATTTATAGTTTTATTTCAATTTTTAAATAATAATTACATGTAATCTGCTTTTTTCTGTTTAATTGAAGCCACGATGTATACTAAAGTGCACAGGTCTCAAATTGTGAGACCTTCGGGTTACAACAAAGTATGACATAATTATACAGTATTGCTGTACAGCTTGGCTTTTTGACCGGAATATGTTAAGCAAGTCTTGTCCCTCTCAAGATAGAAATAGCTGTCCTAGGTTTTAACGACCGTCCTTAAATTCCACCCCAAACTCGGTTTTTCTGTTCACAAAAATAAGCTGCTAACAAATGTGCAAGAAAAAGTACATCTATATGTTGGCGAGGACTGGGGATATAGGAGATCCCATGAAAGTCCCTGCCGTCTGTTCGTAGAACTGGCCTTGAAACTGGAAATAGCTGGATGATACGCAGAGCCGGATGAGTTCGGTGATCTGGCCGGGTGAGAGGGCGGTGCGATCAGCGAGGGAAGGGTCACTGGCCAGGCGGTCTTCAGTGATTTTGCATGCCTCTAAGGTGGGAACGTTGGTGAAGAGCGACACCACGTCGAAGCTCACCCTGATGTCACTGGGCTGGAGTGTAAGGCCCCTGGTGAGTTCCACAAACTTTGTCGAGTTGGCAATGTGGTGAGGTGTGTTGCCCACCAGGGGTTGGAGGAGGCTGGCTAGGAATCTGGCCGTCTCATAGGTGGGTGAGCCCCTGGATGACACTATGGGCCGAAGTGGAATATCTCTTTTATGAATCTTTGGTTGGCCAAAGAATCTGGGGCAGGAAGAGGCTGTCGGGCGGAGGCGACGGTATAACTCTTGGGGGATGGCTTCTGACCGGTGGAGGGCGAGGAGCTTGCTGGTGATGCGTCTTTCGATGGCTTGAGGTGGGTCCTTGCGGAGAGGTTTGTAGGCTCCGTATTCCAGGATGTCTTGAACCTTGCTGGCGTAAGTTGTGCGGTCCATGACGATGGTAGCGTTGCCCTTGTCGGCTGTGAGGACGTGGATGCTCTTGTCACTGCTAAGGTCTTGGAGGGCTTGGGTCTCTTCTTTGGATGGGTTCGACTTGGCCCGGAGGGCTTGGCTCGTTGAAGGGCTTGGTAGATCTTGGTAGATCTTGATTTGGACGGTGAAATCATTGCAAACTGAAGCACATACTTAAGGTCTTGATTTTGTTTGTACGATCCTTGTGATGCTGCAAACAGAAGCTCGGCTGGTTTCTTTTGTTTTGAAAGTGCGAGTGCTTTGTGCCTTGATCTTTTTGAAAGTGCTTGCCAATCCTCGATTGGACGTCCCACTGTTGGTTGCTGTTTGGATGTACTTGGCTTTGCTGAACAACAAGGATCATTTCTGCTTGCGTCCTTACTGGCAAAACATTGTTCCACTTCATCGGGAAATGATATTTTATGGTCCAACCAAACGGCGTTGTTTTGATGGAATGTTTTCATCGTGCGTTTGCTTCGAGTCCATCTATCTCTCACTTGATAGAGAAAGTCCTTTATCATCTTGGTTGTCTGTCGTCGAGGATCCGCAGGGATATCAGACCCATCAATATCGTGGAATTGAAATACAAAATCTAAGCATTTTTTGTTCGACAGTTCAATGTCAGTGATGATTCTAGAAGAATGAACATGTTCAAACAGTTGTCTTCTTGACATAGATGTCATCTTTTCTAGCATCAAATCATCGACAACATGAAAACCGAAATGAAGAAAGCATTTATAATGCTTGTTCGATTGAAGAGAAGTATCCACTACTGTGTTTCAACATGGAGGAAGGATACAGAAGGAGTTTGAACAGTCCGGGCTATAACATCTGGCCGATTACCACTTTCTGGCATCCCGGTATGTCCATAGCCAGAGCACAGCGCACGCCTGCTACCCACCACCTGTTTTGCAACCATAAGCTCCCTTTGTACCCCATGATCGTCGCCGCAATTTTTCGTTGGAAATCTGCATCCCTAAAACGTTGTGTACTGCAGTATAGGAAGTTGAATATTCATGCCATCGTTGGTGCTTGATATGATCCGACAACATCATCAAATTCAGTGTTTGCGCAGTTGCTTTTATTAGGCTGCATACCCGAAGTGTTCATGTGCAGTTGTTGCCCTTATCGAATGCTTTCTTCTGGACTTCTTTTAGGAATAAATAGCCAAGCTGTTTGTAAGATTTTATGTTTTGTTTGAATCATTTTCAGTATGGCATTTGTACAAAGGCTTATTTTATGAGATTTCACGATCACTCTCTGTGATGAAATAGCGTGTTTTGTTCTTAATGAACTAGGCTTTCCAGTAGTAGTGAACATTTTGTTGGCCAGTCTTAGCCAAATTCGTTCCAAGTCTTTGACACTGATGTATATTGGACAGCGGAGACTAGAATTACAAACTTTGCATGGATAATGAAACAGTGTGTCAAATTTCAAAAAGTTTGTTTATGATGGCAAAAGTAGGTCTAATATCAGAAATTTTTCTCTTTCTATTTCCTGGTCACATTGATAGTTTGTATTTAATTGCAAGCAAAAAACTACAAGTATTGCCAGGTTATTACTGGCCCCGCTTGTCCAGTTAAGATGCATGCAGCAATGAGGCATTTTTGGAATATTTTCTATTATTTGTCAGACTCGGCGGCGACCATCATTGGACGCTTTGAAGTGCCTGAGTTACAGCTCCTTCTGTGTCCTTCCTCTATGGTTCAACTAAATAGTAAAGGCTGTATGAAATAATAAAAGGGAAAAGGGATACCGGTATCCAACTGAAATGTGTGGAGGGCGTTGCGATGGGAGCCTACTACTGTCACCGTGGCCGTTCTTGGGTCCCAAGCGGGAGATGGTGGTCATCCAGGCTGACCGTCGTGGTCTTGATAGACGGTGGTGAGCGGCAGATCTCGGTCTTGAGTGGGTCTCACAAAAATCCAAGCGGGAGCTCAGGCTTGAGGCGACTTGATCTTGGCTTGTCTTGACCGGATCATTGCCCCTTGGGCGTGGGCCATACGAGCTGCTGACTATCGGTGGAATGCTGGAGAGCAGCAGCAGATGATACGCCTCGTAGAAAGTAAAGCTCTGCTGCGACGTCGACACACGAAAGAGAACGTGTCACAATGCTAAACCAAAAAGAATGTTATACACGCAACAACTACAAAATGTGCTATTCATCCAAGGCGGGTGTAACACCCTGCCAATTGATGGCAATGATACGACAACTTTTCCTATGCCTATGTCTAATGACATTAATAAAAAATTAGAGCCGAAATAAGGGTGATTCCATAAATGCGGTGCCCAGTGAATTATTGTGTCCCTCCTTATTTTGTAATTGCCTATTGCCAAGAGTGAAATAATATTCAAGTCATGGTTTCAACTACTTGAACCTATGTGCCTGGTAGCAAGGGGTGAAATATCAGAAAACCAGTTTTCTGATCATTTGAGTGCACTAATCGTTCACAATATCACGGTTAAGGGGACCAACGCTGTGTGACGGTAAACTGCTTCAGAATGTGTTTGAGGTTCTTATCAAATACGACCGTGTGTGTGAAATGTCGCCCTTTATTCCACGGAAAAGTGCACATGGCAGAAAATCGACAGAACTACACGCACCAAATTATAGGGTATGAAAAGACATTTCATTTGTGGGGTATATGAGACGTAATGCGTGTAAGTTTTTTTTTTTTTTATTTAAAAACTGTTCAGCCATAAAACCCATGAATTTTGGTGGTTATTTTGGGCCTTTTTATTTGGGCACCTTGTGAAAAAGTGATACTTCTATGAATGTAATACACTTTGTGAACCATGTTTATTACCAATTGTAATCAGGATGCATGCATACACTATGTCATATATGTAATATAAAATTAGATGGGTACGCTGGACACCAATAAAGTAACATCCAACAACGATCACTGATAATTTTTTTCTCTGTAAGCCACAATGAGATAAAAATATGTCTTACCATGCTAAAAGGGTTCGATGAAACTGAACATTTGAGACATAGCACTTCAGGTCCTAGCACTTCACAGAGTTTGTGATACAAAATTAATACTAGAAAGAGGAATTTTCTCTGAGTACGTCCAACGCCAAGGTGTTAGTTTCTGCTAGAGTAATAATGCTGGATGGCTACTTTTTTTTAATTAAATCAACTGATGAACTGGTTGATGCCTTTTACCAAATATGAAATCTGCTTGAGGCCTTTAGTTCTAAGTCTAATAATACACGCTGTTGAAGTGTCCAAAATGTATGTCAGACATCATGGAATTGTTGTCAAGGAAGGGAATAGTGCTTTAGAATGATATTGCATTTACATGATTTGGGTGGGTGATTGAGGTTAACAGTGCGAAACGGTTTTTCCCGTCTCCCCTTACATAGGAAGTTTGTTACATGTTTCTCAGAAGCAAAGATTCATGGTTACACCAGCACTATCCAAATGTACCACTTTGATTACATGTCCCGGCCACTTGATAAAAGTGTGAAGTGAATTACAACAAAGATCACAAGCTTAGAACCACATAAAAGGCAGAAAGTATATTTAGTGCTCATTCAAAAACACTAAATATTGCAGGACAGGTCTTATATCATCAGACGTGGAAAGGAATTTTCGGAGTGCCCTATCGTCCGCTTGCGTGGTTGATCAGAATGACGAGCGGCAGCAGCATGAGTTGCAGCGGGGAAAACAAACAAATTGAAGACCCTGCTGATTTTGGTGGAAAGAGACTGGGGTGTGATTTTCCCTTGCGTTTTATCGCATTTATGCATGTAGTTCCTTCGTATGCTGAGAACGGTTTTGGTGGAGCCAGACAAAAAAGCAGAACTTCTGATCACTGACTGGAATAGGCCTACTCCAATCTCTTTCCACCAAAATCAGCAGGGTCTTCACAATTTGTTTATTTTCCCGGATTTCTCTCTGTTCTTAGAGAAACGCCGGAGGAGCATGCAGACGACACAACCATCTTAAGTGTCGCCCTCTCTTGTTCTGTAAGTTGCAGGAGGCTTGGTGACCTATGCTCATACACACAGGTTTGGGTTTAAACGCTCGACCGGGCAAAGTGGGACCAGTCTATACATTTATACGACGGACTAGTAGACTCTGCATAGCGAAACATAGCAGGCGAAATCAACACAAGTCGCCGGCTGGGGGTGAATGAAGCTCTCCGTTTCTGGCCTACATAATTTCGTTTTGTTCTTTGAGAGCTTCACATATGGTGAGTTTAGGCGTGTGTTGAAATTTTTGAACAGACTGCACAAAGTGTGATTGCCGAGTAAACGCTTAATATCATTGAAATAAACTCAAAGGCTTGATGGTAATGTTATGAATGTTGCACTTGCAAGTTGCAGTCTCAAGTGTTACAGTCACAAGCGTGAACGTATTGCACTGTGACCGTGTGTGACCATCGGCACAGAGTAGAGTAGTCAACGTAAATACGGTACTCCTGTACCGTACCGTACACCATGTACACGGAGGCCCAGGCGAATGAGCATTTGCAGAATATCCCCCACTTGAAAATACACCTTTGAAATCACCAAGGTGATTATGTGAGTACATAATACTTTGAGAACTCATAGTCACTACTCCGTCATTATCCATATGACTCCGAGCCAACACGGTTTACATCATACATGGTGTTGTAACACTATGGAGTTTTGGAATTGAATTTTTGTGGTGAAATGGTTTGTAGGTGTAAATCAAATTTTCCCCATATATTTACCTCATTAAAATGGTGAAATTCTTGAGCATTTTGCCCATCCACACTACAGAAAATCAGCAGATTGAACTCTCAATAACTGTCAGCTGTGTGATATCGGAGCTTGACTAATCGCAACTCAGCACATTTATTCATTCATTCATTTATTCATTATTTTCAGACTATCTAAAAAGTCTAGAAAGTTAGTACTAATATTACTACCTGTAACTTGAAATATCAAAGGTTCTCCCAGCCCAAATAAAAAATGAGTTATGATAAACAAAGAATTAATTCTAATCGGCCTAAGCAATATTCAGTCGAACACATGTGCAGTAGGCCTAACTGTTTATTGGGACTTAAACGCTCTTACTGTGAGTAATCATAAATGTAGTTGTGACTTTGTATTCACCAGGTAGGGAATCAGACCACTTTACAATTTTAGACTTTTTCCCCCAAAAACAAATCCTCCAGAGCCATGAATCAGAAAAAGAAAATGAAACACTCTGTAATTGAATGTTGGGGTCAATTTAAACTTAACAAAAGAAGAACAATGTCAAATTTTGGGGACGAAACAAAAAGGACGATACTGTACCTGGAAGTCAAACCCAGCCGTGCCAGTTGGGAGTGTATCATGTGATCCAAAAATGTGCACCCTGTCCACTAGACCATGGACCCTACTTGAAAGCTGCGGTAGCAGTAATTTGCTTTTGAGGAATCCTTGGTGTCATTACTACAAATGAGTAATAATGATAATAATAAAGATCTTATCTAATGATAAATATCTTAATGCTGTGAGTGCAAGCTTTCGCATTCATGTACATGTATGTACTTCCAGAGCTGTAATGTTTATACAAATTTCAATTTTGATTGTGATGAATATTGCTCCTCCCAGTGAATGCATGGAATGCCCTCCCTCAGAAAGTACAATGTTCATGTACAGTATACATGTAGTGAATGCTAGAACTGTGTTAGCTTTTAAGAAAGAGTTTAACTTACTTTGGAAGAGAACGAATGAAGAAATCCTGAATTGGTTCCCATTCTCCATGCACTAAAATTGCGAAAAAAGTCATTATGGAAAAGCCGCAGGTTTGCCAGCAAGTCTTTGTACATGTGCATGTATATGACCAGCTTAATAGCATGAGCACATTTACCGGTACACCATGCATTTTAGTTGCAGATTGAAAAAACATCAATAAGGAAAGAAAATTTCTGCAAGTTACTAAAATTCGCAACTTAGTAAGTAGAATACATGTATACATGTATATGGCACAGCGTGGTGATTGACACTAAATCATTTTTTGTGTATGAGTAGGCCAACTTGTACACATGTACACTGATGTATGGGTAACTGTTAAATTATGATTAATATTAAAGTAAATTTGTTTCTGTTTCATTCAGGTCATACCGGTACATTATACGCTGTTATCTGGTTGAAAATGCATCAAATGACAACGTACGATTCATGTACATGCACCGGTACATGTATGTTGAGGGGATCTTAGAAGTTCTTCAAGTACACATGTACATGCACTGTACTACCCAATACTGAAGTGTGACCGACATTCCTGCCAGGCTGATCCATCAACACTGTCCTCCCCTCCCCCAGGTTCTACTTTCCCCAGGTAACCTTTGACCCGGGCCCTGTCCTGTCGGTGCCATGTCTGACGGCTTAGACCAGGAGAGCGCCCCCCTCGCAGGGAAGAAGACCAAAGGAAGCAAGAACATCGAGTGGGGGAAGTTTGGACTGAGTGAGGACCAGCCTGGAGAGAATGGAGCAGCGCTGGCAGGGGAAGGAGATGGGTACCAGACTGGTACTGGAAAGGAGAAAATCCAGGAGCTGTATGATGAACAGCAAGTAAGATCACATGGCTTATACATGTACCTGTAAATCACGTTTATATTTTTTCTGACATTGTAATTTATCAATATGTACATGTAAACAGATAAACTACATTTACCGTAGTTTGTCGTCCCCCCACTTCCTTTTTCCCGGCCCGCCTCCTTGTATTTTTTGTTTAGTTTTTCTTGTGTTGTTGAACCTTCATCATATTTTAACTTTTTATAGGTTTCTAGTAATGTACACGTGTATGTAACTTCAAATGCAAGGTTTAAAACCTGTGAAATACATGTATGCAAAATATTCTTTACATGTACATGTACTTCAGACACAAAGTGTTTAGCAACAGAGACCTTGAAATCAAATGCTCATCTTGAATAAAAATGCTGCATGGTTACAAGGCCCTCCCCCCCAAAAAGAGTTATACTTCGCAGGGCAGGAAGTGAGGAGGCATCGGAAGCAATTGCCTTGATGTGCCTGGTCGTTTTCTCAATGCCCATTGAAATGTCCCCATAGACAAGTCGATTTTCTAATACACTTGCCCTTTGCAGATGAGAAATTGCCGTGCCCTTTCAAGAACGAAGTTCCTGCCCTGACTTCTTGTTTCACTATCTATCCTATTAAGTTGACTACATGACCCTAAAGTTTTGTGGGACGGGGGATGTAGGAAATGTGAACCTGGGAAATAAGAAGTAAAATTTCAGTGTTTTAAATTTAGATTGTTTTTCAAAATGTTGGATGGGTCGACATGGTCGAGGTACATGTACCTGTACAGTAAGTACATGTAATTGAAAATTGAAATTCAGTTTTCATGAATAAAAGAAAAAAATCTTTTGACTTGTACACTACATGTACATTGTACATGTACCCTCCATGCCAGTGTTACACATACATTTTGCAATCTTTTTCAATTTCATTGCCAGTTATGGATATCATGTACATGTACGTGTATACATGTACATACCGGTACATGTACGTGTGAAACTCTATGGGTGAAGGTGGTTTTTCAGTAGACTATTGGAAGCCAGACATTTGTAGCAGTTATGTGCATGTATGTACATGTTGGCTTTACAAATGCAGTGGGGTACCAGTTGTGTTTGATCATCTTTCACACGAGTATCGATTACCAGGTGCTTTTACCTTTGGGTTATTCACCCACTTGAATCCCGTAGCATACCGTAGCTTGCTACTCCCTAGTACTACGTGTACATGTACACGTATGCACTGCATGATACAGATTCCAGTTCAAGTGCTCTGCATTATAACTAGGAACCAAGCTTATTTTGAGCATTATCCGAGCAGTGCTTGCATGGGCTTGTAACCAATGCAACCGCATAAAGCCAATGTACATGTACATTGTACATGTGTACAAGTGTATGAATTTTTCCATACATGTACATGCATGTACACTGTACCGGTATATGCATTAGATCAGGGTGTATGGAACCAAATACAAAATTGCCGTCATATGGTAATTGGTCATTTGCAAAAGCTGCAGGCTTTCCCACAAAGATGAAGCAACTTGCATCGTGCACATTGTATGTTGGACAAATGTTGGAAGCACATGTGGAGAAACATGCACCAAAAACTGGTTCCTACTGCTAGAAATAGCGAGAATGACATGGAATGGCCAGGATCCAGTGACCCCTGGCCCGCGACAACATACAATGTACATGTAATACTCCCTGAACTTCAACAGCCTGAAAATATGAAACAATCAAAAACTTCAGAAATATTTTTGCAAGTTACATGTAATTCACAAAATTAGATTGCACTTCATGCATACATACATGTAGGTATTTTTCAATTTCATGTACATGTACATGTGGTGTATTTATGTTGAAGTCAGTGGTCCAGTGAAGCCTGATGTCCTGTCGGACCATCACCGTGCTCAAGGAGCGATGGCCGGTCCAGGAATTCAACCCATCTTACATGTACATGTAGGTGATATACTACTGCGTAATATGAAAAATTTCGCATCAACATTTTGTATGTTTCTTATCTGGGACATGATATTTGGACTTGAAAGTGCTGTAAACGAAAGCTCTGTAACAAAAATTAGATGTATACATGTAGTCAATGAGAGAACAGCCAGGAATGTAAAAAAGGAGCTTTCATGGACAGACGGAACTTCATTGGTTCATCAGGGCTCACAATGTACAGTGTACATGTACATGTAGTGGTTTATTTTCACTGTGAAAAATACAAAGCTCCTAGATGAGCACATAAGGTTACGTCTATCCATATCCAGAGCCTTATATCAGGTAATACTGTAACAGGAATTTGTATGTGTGGTCGTGGCGTGGCATTCAATATGGCTGCTACCATTCATGGTGTAATACTGAAGGGGAAAAAAATCATTTTTTTTAATGGGATTGGAACTATTTTGGAAAAAAATTGAAATTTGAAAACATTGAAAATTTTGAATGGTTCCTAAAGAGAAAAAAAGTGTCTATTTTAGTTTGAATGCAGTGTAGAAAGGTTCAACTTTAATGCATGTACCGGTACATGTAACTTGTACCCATCAACAGTGTTGTTCGTTTCATTTGAAACAAATGACATCCAACCTCCCTTTCTACCGGTATGGTCATATGATTTTTAACCATTTTTTAAGTAAACAGGAAAGAACAAAACAACCAAGAAACTAAATAATTCAATAGCAATGTTTCATATGTAATGGGAAGCAGAATTGTCATGCTTTTTGGGGGAGGGGGCATAATGGGAAAAAAATGCCACCTCCACAAAAACTGGATGAAAAATTATTGCCATTATTGGCAACACCCCCACAAAATCTACAATATGGTACATACATGTGTACATGTACAGTACATGAACTGTATGCTGTATGCTGTCATTGCTGTGTGTGACCTTTTAGTGAGAGCTGAAGGAGGACTCGCATGTTTGTTCAGATGTACATGTTTTTACATACATGTACAGTATGTACATGTATATTACTTTATTCACATTTATTTACATAGTGTACAGGTACTGTATGTTTGAATGGTTCAAAGCATGCAGAGCCGATTTGACTCCTCCAAATTGAGCCATACTGAGTGAAATTTTGACCCTAGGCCTTCTACTGATGTACAGTACATGAAAATCCACTTGAATGTTCAGATTTTCAAGATTGAGTGAAAGGTATCTTCTTGCCTCAGAAAGAGAATTGGTGTCCCTTTAAAGTTTGTAACATTTTAAAGTTGAATTCCTGCAGAGTATGGTGCGGTAGGGACAATGGATTTTTGACGTTTCATTTTTTTGAGTTGGTGCCCTTTAAAATTGTTATGTCCAACGTGTCATGATCATGTTCAAAAATCACACTTGAAAATCAGCACTAAAGGGGCTGACCTACATGCATTAATCATTAACTCAAATGCCTGATTTGCCATTTTTTCAATGCAAAGACCAATTTCTGTGCATTCTGTGTAAGCCGTGGGCAGGTTAGGTTATAAGGTTCACTGTGTATGCAGTCTGGGCACAAGGTGGGCATGACTGCCAAATGTCAATCTCATGCATGGCATTAAGCAGCATTAGAGCTCCTCGGATCTCCATATGGCTTGATTTTCTTCATTTCCCCTTTAAATTTTGTGTTTTTGTCATTGCTTTCTAACTTCCAGACAGGGTTTCTCCTGCCTGTTCAGGTGTGAGGTTGCCCACCTCACTGATTTTAATGACTTTTGAGACTACCGGTACTACATGTACCTCTCACACTTGAAACAGACAAACATCAAGGAAAAAGCAAAAGAATGTACCCCCCGGTAGATTTTGAAATTGATTAGTTTCATTTTGTTCAGAATGGAATAGAGGGACACAGAACACAATATTGATTTACCGGTACATTTATTTTAGAGGAGAAATGTGGAGTAAACGTACTATAGAATTTATTTTAGGCCTTTTTGAAAATGCTTGCTTTTGTTAAAGGAACTACATGTAGAATTTTGGCAAAATTTGACCACCTCACGCATCAGTACCCCAGGGGAATCCTGTGTTTAGGGAGCTTATCGGCACATGCACATGTATATGTACTATAGCATCATAGACCTGATTGCCTCTTACATGAATGAGTATGCATTCTGCCTGAACAATATGGGTAAACACATTGCGTCACACGTCACAGTAATGACAGTGTGCTACACTGTAGTAGGGAAAGGATGCACTTCATTCATAGGAATTCTAGGGAGCTACATGTACTTATATCCATTCATGTGGTAATTGTGCACACTTGTACCGGTTCCTATAGATGTACATGTAGATTGTACCATGCTTGCAGAGTACCGTGTATGTACATGTACATGTACATGTACGGTATGTATGCACGTACATGTACATACATATATGTACTGTACATGTACTGCAGGTAACTTTAGGGTTTATGCATTGCTATGCAAATGTCCAGCTGCTTTTAAAAATCAACAAACAGTTAGGACCGACTGTTCAATGGAATGTCTTCAGACAAATATAATTACGTGCAGTGAATATATACATGTACATGTACATGTATGTACTCCTGCCTCCTGTGTGCTCTTCTTGTAAGGGAGCACAAATGCATACACAATGCAATAAATCATATTTTACATCATATGGAGGTGCAAGCACATTAGTCCAGTTGCTGTTATGGTCCAACTCTCTAAGGTTCATGTGCAGAGCATCTTTTGATCTCAACTTCTGATTGCAGCAGAAGTTTAGGGGGCGGAGACAAAGGAAGGGGTATTACATCATTCTTCTCCTCACTTTTTGAAAAATAATTATTCCTCCCGGTATCATGTGATGATGTACGGATTCGGGACGGGTTTTGTGGGATTTGGTTCCCTTCTCCAGATTTCTTGGGTTAAGTTGTTACATGTACATGTACTGGTATCATTGTTCGGTACTTTATGCACTTTTGTACACAAAAAAAAGTGTCACAGCCATGTGGGAGAGAACTCGTGCCAGCTAAAATTCCTGGAAAAAGCACAGTAAAACCACATGTACATGTAAATGATGCAAACTGGCAAATGAAATCATTTTCACCACTACTTAGC